ACACATTGATATACCTTGAGAGGAAAAGTTAACCTGACGTGACATTTGCTAAAAGATCCAATAGCCTGTGAAAGCGAAGGCTGAGTTACAAATGATATTCCAGAGATGATTTTTGTTATCTTAAAATCCAGCTATGTTTCTCCATTGCTACATTTTTATTTATTTATTTTTTTTTAAATATTAAATTTTATTTTTATATTCCCCCATACAATTGCAAACGCCCCATTCTGACCCCAATCCTTCCCCTCCCGCCCCCCCACCCCAAAAAGTGTCTCTGGTTCATAGTTTTTTTGTTGATTTTGATTTTCACTTTCTTATATTCATTTTCCTGGTCCCTTATTTAAGTTTTCTAGATTCCTGCTATGAGTGAGACCATCCGGTATTTTTCTTTTTCTTTTTGGCTTATTTCGCTGAGCATGATCCCTTCCAGTGCCATCCATGTTGCTGCAAATTGCATGTGTTTATCTTTTTTGAATGCTGAGTAATATTCCATGGTATATATGTACCACATCTTCTTGATCCAGTCATCTATTTTTGGGCATTTGGGTTGTTTCCAAAGCTTAGCTATTGTAAACAGTGCTGCTATAAACATAGGAGTGCAGGTGCTCTTTGGAATTGATGTTTCTGTGTCCTTTGGGTAAATACCTAGGAGTGGAATTGCTGGGTCATATGGAAGCTCTATGTTTAGTAGGTCCAGAAATCTCCACACAGCTCTCCATAGTGGTTGGACCAGTTTGCACTCCCACCAACAGTGCACAAGAGTTCCTTTTTCTCCACATCCTCGCCAACATTTGTTGTTGCTAGTTTTTTTAATATGTGCCATTCTCACTGGTGTGAGATGGTATCTCATGGTAGTTTTGATTTGCATTTCCCTGATTACAAGTGATGTTGAACATTTTTTCATATGTCTGTTGGCCATTTGCATTTCCTCTTCAGAGAAGTTTCTTTTTAGCTCTTCTGCCCATTTTTTGACTGGATTATTTTCTTTGTTGTTGCTGAGTCTCATCAGCTCTTTGCAGATTTTTGTGATCAGTCCTTTATCATTAGTGTTGGGTGCAAAAATGTTCTCCCAGTTGGTGGGGTTTCTCTTTGTTTTTGTTATTGTCTCTTTTGCTGTGCAGAAGCTCTTTAATTTGATGTAGTCCCAGCTGTTTATCTTTCTCTTCACTATCACTGCTTTGGGTGATGTGTCTGTAAAGATGTCTTTGATGTGCAAATCCCGTAGTGTTTCGCCTATATTTGCTTCTATGTATTTTATGGTTTCAGGTCTTATGTCTAGTTCTTTAATCCATTTTAGATTGAATGTTTGAGGACAAACTTCTAGGGGAATTCAAGTCAACACCTTGAGATAGCATTTTACAAGGATGGCTAGGAATGTGCTATGGTCATACAGTGGAATATTATTTGGCCATAAAAAGTACAGAAGTACTGACACATGCTACCACATGGATGAATTAGAAAGAAATCAGTCACAGAGATCCACATATTAAATATTCAGAATAGATTAATCCATAGATATAAAATTAGTTTGTGGTTGCCGGAGTTGGGTAGAGAGGGTCATGGGGTATGACTGCTAATGGGCACAGAGTTTCTTTGGGGAGGGGGGATGACAATGTTTTGGATTTAGATGGCACATAACCTTATAAATATACTATATAAAAACTATGGAATTATAAATTTTTAAAGAATGGATTTTATAGTAAGCCATCAAATCTCAACTTCAAAAGCTTTTTGCAACTGGAAAGCACTTCTATTTGCCTTTTTCTATGTATACAAATAGAAATGTTTGCTTTATATACTTTTTAAAAAAGATTTATTTATTTATGCATACAAGAACTGGGATGTAGGCCAGAGGTGCAGGGCATGAGAGGATTCACCAGACACAGAGAGGGGAGCAGAACAGGCAGATCGACTGAAATACACTGCGGAGGGGAGCAGCAGGTGAGTCAGGAGAGGTCTGCTGTGCCATGTGGGTAGCTCCCTGGCCGGCCGGGGATTGAACTCGTGCTGCAGAGGCTGCGAATAGCTTCACAGTGCTGTGCCTAACCCGTTGCGCCACCAGGGAGGCCCTGCTTTATATACTTGGAGGTTAAGTTTTCAGGAAAATACAACTCTGGAATTACAACTTTCTCAAGAATTGATGTTTGAGTGCTATTAGTAACATTTATCTGGTAACACCTTTTATCATTAAATCTTCTCAGGATCTCCCCCTGGTGGCACACTGGGCTGTGAAGCTGCCCGCAACCTCTGCAGCGCCGGTTCGATCCCCGGCCACGGGGCGAGGGTCCCACTGCTCCCCTTAGAAGTGTCCTCCGTCTGTCTGCCTGTTCTGCTCCCCACTCTGGCTCTGGTGAATTCTCTCACCCTCCTGCACTTCTGACTGTACCCAGTGCTTGTATAAATAAATAAATAAATCTTTAAAAAAAAAAAAAAGGAGGGCCTTCCCAGTGGCGCAGCGGTTGAGCGCTGGGTAGCGAAGCTGCCGGCAGCCTCTGCGGCGCCAGTTTGATCCCCGGCTGCTCCCCGGCCACCAGAGGAGGGTCCCACATGGCGCGCAGACCTCTCCTGCCGCCCGCTGCTCCCCTCAGCAGTGTACTTCGGTCCTTCTGCCTGCTCTGCTCCCCACTCTGGCTCTGGTGAATTCTCTCACCCTCCCGCGCTTCTGACTGTACCCAGTGCATGTATAAACAAAACAAACAAACAAACAAATAAATAAATAAATAACATGCCTCTATTAAAAAAAAAAGTCCTAAAAAAAAAATTGGAAAAAAAAAGGAAAAAAAAATCTTCTTCTCATATTCATATTACTCCAGGCTTCTTTGGTAAGAATTTTCATTGTATGTTTCTTATCTTTTGACAATGATTTTGTGCTCTTATAACACAGATTTATCTCCTTTAGATTTTTTAATTATGTCTGGCAACTTTTAACTTTTAATTAGAAAGTTTATTTCCTTTATGAAATTTACTTTGCTGATTTATTTCTGCTGTCTAAATATCTGCTTTCCACTCATACTTATTTTTCTTATTACATATTTTCTTATTACTACTTTATCTTCTACCTTTATCTTTTTACCTTTTATTAGTTTGAGTTTTTCAATTTTTTTCCCTATTGACTACGCAGTTTGTTTTACTACAACATTCTTTTAACAGTTAAGCTAAATTTACTGACATGCAAAGTTACCAACATATAGTCAATCGCTAAACATCACAGAAACCTTACAATACTTTTTCTGCTATTATATCCATCTCACTTTGACAATTTCTCTTAGTCTTATATTCTGCCCTGATTTTATCCTCAGATTAGCCTTTAATACTGCTTTTATTGAACTAATGTCTGTTCACATGTATTCACATATTTGTCAACATCCTTTTTCCAGCCCCAGAGATAAATTTTATTTAGGAACCATCTACGTATGTGATAGAATTCTCTCTTAGGGGGTCAACAATTCAGATCAGTGAGAGAGGAAATAATCTGATGCCTTTGTCTTCATGCCAAACAGAAAGACTCCTTTGTCCCTCTGGACACCAGATTGTTTGCTAAATTTCTTTAATCTCCTAGGAAGTATATCTAAACAAGGTAAAAATGTTCGTTCTTGAATCTCAGGTGTTCCCTCTGGAATAGTTTTCTTTCTGTTGGCAGTACCTTCTTTAGATTATCCTTTCTAAAATGTGCTTCCCTAAGAGACTTAAATCTCTTAGTGCTCCAAGAGATCCATGGTTTGTAATGAATTGACTGCCCTCATATGCATCTGGAATGATATGATAAGAAACTGATTGCTGTGGTACCCTAGTTGAGAAAGGGCTGTCTCAGAATTCCCTTTAGTTTGTGGATGATAACTTCTCTGGGACTTTGTCTGAAAAATTTATTTTTGTTTCCTTTTTATTGCTGTTTTTCTTTAAATATCGTTTTAGTGAGCGTTTTTCTCTAAGCTCACAGAAAGTATTACATCTTCTGGATCATGTGGTTTCATTCATCTTTAGGAAAGACTGCTATATGTATGGAACTGGGGCATAATAACGAAAGAAGAGTAGCAAACCAAAAGACGTAGTCAAGCACCTTTTTGAGCTTTGTCTTTTCCATCTGTAAAATGGGTATGTGGCATGGTAGTTGTTAAGTTTTTAAATGATGTGCATGTTACATCTGAAATGTAATACACATTTATAATCTTCATGATTATTTTAGTTTTTCTCCCTTGGTTTCCAGTTTCTCCACAAATTTCATGGTTGACTCTGTAGCCCCAGAGAATAGTTTTATGTAGGAACCATATAGGTATGTAATCAAATTCTCCCTTAGGGGATCAACAATTCAGATTAGTGAGAGAGAAGATATTCTGACTCCTTTGTCTTCATCCCAAGTAGAAAGACTCCTTTATCCCTTTGGACACCAGGTTGTTTGCTAAATTTCTTTAATCTCCTATAAAGTATATCTAAACAAGGTAAAAACTTTTGTTATAATGCAAAGGTTTGAATTTAGGCCAAGTGATTTATTTTGATTATAAGAATGTCATCGATTTCTAATCATGTCATTTGAGAATGGTTATGTTATTCATCCATGTGTGGCTTATCTCACTAATATCTGTCCACTTGAAGTAAGTGCTTTGACTACACCCAGATAATCAAAGAATAAAAAGGCACAGGTACTCCATGCCAGAGGAGTACCTGTTTTCTATCATACATGTCAGAAGCAAACCACAAAATTACTACTCCCTCTCTGGATGTGATCCCCCAAGTCACCTTGGAGACACTAGGCTGCAGGGAAATGCCTGAAGACATTGTTCACTGCCCTGCTTTCCCCCATCCTACACACACACACACACACACACACACACACACACACACACACACATGCACACACACACACACACACACACACACACAGAGTTGCCAGTCACCATATATTGAGTATAATCTCTCTAAGGTTAGAAACCCCTCCCTTCCTCCCATATGAGTATGGAGAGACAGAAATAAAATTTGTTTTTATTTTATTTATATTTGTCTAAAGGCACATTTGATCAGAGATTAAGAATCTATTAAGGATTAAGCATTTAACTATGTAGGTCAGTCATTAATGATTTTGAAGTTTTTTTCAAGTCTAAAAATAGCCATCAGATGGATATGTTATTATAGTCATTAATTCTTATTGTTTTATTAGGTTATTTTCACATTTTTTGCTATTGTAGGTAGCCCTATGTTTTATATTCTTGGCATAAATCTTCCTCTGGAGAAACTGCTTGTAGATGAACTACAACAATCCAAGATATGTGTTAAGGCATAGTGCTGAAAAGCTTGGGTTTGGGTGTAGTGTGGATGTCTGAACCACTCATCATTTCCTCAAACAGGATGATCTAGAAAGAAAAAAAAAAAGGTTAACAGTAAGAAAGGGTAAGTCTACTCAATACAGGATGAGAATGACACTGCAATTTCATTTTAGGGATGAGAGCAGAACTGAATGTTTTTGAGACATGAAGACAGGGGCTGACTCACCTCATTGTCTTCTGGATGAAGCCAAACACCAGGGAGGTAAAGTGTTTCCTGAGGTCCAATATTCCAGTATCGCCCAAGGTGACGTCCATTGATGAACACAGATCCCAATTTCCAGTCCTGGAAGGGATAGAGGATTGAGACATGGAAACAGATTCACATTGGGAAGGTAAAACCTAAGGCACTTGGGCAGTGAGAGCGAGGCTGAAACGCCTGATGACACTGAATGTGAGAGTGAGTATAGAGTAGAATCTGTTCTAGAAGTTCTACCCTGCTATCTAGGCTAGGGATGACAGAGAACATGAACCAATGCTGCCTGCTAATGCTATTGTTGTTCCTGCTGGGTGATCTATAATGTTACATTATTTTTTTAAGCAGATCTTTTGCTTCCAAAAATAAGTGCTGGGTAATAGAAATTAACATTACTGCTGACAACAGCTATAAAAGCTATATAATATTTTAAACTCTACTTACAATACAATAACAAATTACAGAACCACCAACTCAGAACAGAAATTGGAGAGACAGGAAGACACAGGCAGTTTCTCCAATAGCCAGACCTGTTTATTCAGGAAAAGATGGCTGATATGCTGAGCAGAGCTCAATGTGCAGCCAAATCAATGGTTAAATAAAAAGTAAGATGCAAAATCTATAAGCACCCATCTAAAGAATTTTTAAAGAGAAAGCAGATAACCTTTAAGAGAGAAAGTAGAATAAACAAAATAGTAAAGGTAATGGCAGAAATAAAACATAAAACAAATGAACAATATAGTAAGAGTCACAGCCAAAAACACGCATCCTTTGAAAGATTAATAAATTGGTAATGTTTTAGATGAGACATATCAAGAAAAGAAATGTTACTACAGATGATGTAGACATTAAAGAGAAATAATTTAAGTGCAGTACATTTGAAAATTTAGATTAAATGGAAAAATTCCCAGAAAAGTATGTTTTATCAAAACTAGCTTTTAAAGAAAAGGATAATTCAAACAGTACATTTAATCTTGAAGGAATTTAATTCACACTTACAAACTTTCCCACAAAGAAAATGTTTTAGATGTTTCCACTAATGAAATGTGCCATATATTAAAGAAATAATACCAGTTTTATAGAAACTGTACTTTCCAAATCACTTATGAGTATTCAAAGTTGGTACGAAAATCTGACAAGAGTATCTCAGTCAGTCATGAATACAGACACACAAAAAAGTCTTAATTATTTATAATAGTCCAACACTGGAAAAATACAAATGTCTATCAACAATAGAATGGTTAAACAAGTATGACATATTTATAAAATGGAATTTTATACACAGTGAAAGGAAACAAACCATTACAACATCACTAAATAAGTGGTTGAATCTCACAATGCCAAACAAAAGAAGCCATATAAAAAAAAGAGATGGAATGTAAAATTCAATTTACATGAATTCAAAAGAGGAAACACTGGACTGAAATATTAGGAGTCAAGACAGTGGTTACTTTTGGTGGGGAAAGGGGCAGTGATTGGAAAGGGTGCTGATAGTGTATTTTTATGTCAATGATAATTATATAGTTTTTACTTTGTGAAACTATATAATTTGATAATGTACTGATTTGTATGTTTACATTTTTGTGCATTTATGCTATCTATGTTTGTTTATAAATAAAAGATATACTTGATAAAAATTATCCCCCAAAGGGCCTCCCCGGTAGCACAGCGGAGGAGGACAACAATGTGAAGCTGTCCACAGCCTCTGTAGCGCGATTTCTGGCCAGCCAGGGAGATTCCCAAATGGTGCGGCAGACCTCTCTGCTGCGCCCGCTGCTCCCCTCAGCAGTGCTTTTGGTCCGTCTGCCCCCCACTCTGTCTCTGGTGAATTCTCTCATCCTCCCATGCCTCTGGCCTGTGCCCCAGCTATTGTATAAATAAATAAATAAATAAATTATCCCCCAAAGGCAAGGTGCAGAATATAATTTATGATATAATCCCACTAGTATTAAAAGTAAGTTTAGGCAGAATTATAAATGAAACCACACAAGCTGTTGGCAATGCTTGGTTCTGTGGAGTAGAGAAGAATTGGAGCAGCAATGGGTTTGAAGAACATCCACTATCGGCCTTCTCCACTCCATTACTTTAATTTTTCCACTGATGTATCAATGAATTTTACACTTGATGTATTGTTTTAAACAGTGGCTGAAATTGGGACATTAGAAATGTTGAAAGGCTTAGTTTGAATTGAAGAATAGAAAGGGAATTATTCCTTCCAGGAACACTATGGTTTTACTTGAAGATTCTTTAAAAAAGAATAGGTGATTGGAGTGCCAAAAGAGGGTGGCTCACTTACTGGTAGACTCAGGAAGGTGTCCATGGGAGAAGAGCCAGTCTTCAAGATTCCAAGGTAGAAAGCAGGGCCCACATATTGTTGTGGGACAGGCCTCCAGGCAGCAGTGCGGAGCCTGGAAGAAGAACCAGTCCTTGAGGGAGAGGAATGCAAAGCCCCTTCCCAGCTCTAGTTCCAGTATTGATCCCTGGGTTCCTACACAGGGACTAGGATGCTGTTTCAGTGGCTGTATCAGACTAGAAGCCTTAAATCCTGGAACATACCTCTCAAAGAAGCTTGTTTTCATTTCCAGAGAATAGATAGTGAAATCTTTCAGAAGAACTCTATTGATGACAACAGATCCAATTAATCCTGAAGGTGGGAGATAAAAGTAAGAATATGAACAGGGCCTGAATGATTGTCTCCAGGGTCTGGGACAAAGAAATGCAGACTGTGTACTTTGTGATAAAGGCTCAACCAAGAGGGGCAAACATTTCACCAGTTATCATGGAAGGGTTCTTGATGTATGCTTGCATGCCACCAAGAGAGTTACTCACTTAGTATTAGAACTTTCTCTTAAATTTCCAAAAGGAACTCCAGGACAAACCAGCACCCAATGTAACTGCTGCACTCTCCTACCCTAGAGAACTAGAGAGGGCAGAACAAGGAAGGGCGATAGTGTTTGCATCTTTGGCCCTAGGACCTATGTATCCCTCTGCCTGGGGGGTTCATTTTGTCCTCTGAACAAACACAGCTCCAATGTTAGGGTCCAAGTAACCATACAGAGGGATTATAGCCTGTATCTCACACCTAAAGCCCACCTTTCCGTTCATGTTGCATTTGCCATGAATAATTGATTCGTCCTTGATTTTCCACCAGGATCCTTAGAAGTTGACATTCCTGCATGAGATATAACTGCTTGTAGGACTACATGGCCTTGTAGAACTTTTACTCTAGAACCCATTCTTCTCTTCAAATCCCAGATGGGAGAAAAGGAGGCTCTAAAGTCCCATAATCCTCCCTCCCTCAGAAGAATCCTTTGAGTGCATGTTCCATGCTCAGTATTTCTTTTCTTCTGCTGGTCTGTCTCAGGCAAGGCAGAGGGACTCAGGTGTGTCTTGGATCAGAGACCTGATCAGAGTCTGATGATTGACTCAGGGGCTAATGGAAAAATTCCATTCACACAAAAGCATGGGTTTTGTGGCTCCATGTATCCAAACATGGGAGATGCAGCCATGCTTATAGCCCTAAAAGCTCCCCATTGGGACCCTAAATAAGGAATAATAACAAAGTCGTTTTGTAGATAAAGCTATGCTTGCATTTCAAAGGTCTCTTGAGCTACATACCTTGATTTTAGGAATGTGCAATTTCTTTATAGTAGCATCCATAAATCCTATCAAGGTTTCATTCACAAACACCTGTAAAATAAGAGCTGGTGTTGACCAATAGGCCCACCGGAAGAAAGGGAGATGAGAAACTCAGGTTTAGGGAGGGAGGGTCATTATAAGAGACTAGCCTTGGACCTTTTCTGGGTCCAGGAAACTGACTGGGAGGCCACAATGAACTTAAGTTGTAATAAAACAGAAAGCAAATATCTTTGGCTTGACTTTATAGTCCCAATGCCTGTCACATAGTAGTTGGTAAAAATGACAAGTGGTAAAGGTAACCAGTGAATAACCTCTCCAACAGTTAGTCTGAATGTTCCACTTACCTACATAGACAGCCTGCTGACCCCTACCTGTGCTAAATCGTGAACCTCAGCATGAAGCTGACCTCCAGAGCAAATGTGAGTCTCATAAAGTATGAATCCATAGGACTGACCATTTCCATTGTTTATCGGAAGATTCTCCATGTTCATTGGTCTATTCGATATCACTGGCTGTGAGCGAGACATGGCAGAAACAGGAACCAGGTGGTGAAAAGTCAGGATCCTTTTTCCTAAGACCCATGTCACTTTCCCCAAGAGTTCTTTGGATAAGAAATACTAAAATATATGTTATGTGATGATTTTCTTGTGCTTTTTATCTCCACTGGCCAGGAAAATTAGGGGGTCATAGGGGCATGATAGAGAAAACAATTGCGGTGAGCATGAGACTTAACAGAGTGGTAAGTTGTATTTTAACATAATTGATGGTGAGTATAGAATTGTGTACTAAGCCAACATTTATTTAGCATCTACATGGGACAGTCACTACTTTTTCTCTAAATCATTGATAGAAGTAAAAACCAATATGAATTGAAGAGTTAACATTTTTCAACAATTTTCAGCTCTCTTCAATAGAGTTCAGTGATTTGGCTCAGTTGACGGTGGAAAGGAGTCATAAATTCTGTTTCATGGGTTCCTCCTGACCCAGCCTGACCCTTCTGGATCAAGGGGCCAAACATAACATTCACCAAACGAGGTCATCTGAACTTCCCACCTCCATCCACTTTTCAAATTGAAACCCTTTCACAGTTCACCAGAAGGAACTTAATTATGATTCCTCTCCCCAGGGTTCTACATTTGGACCAATGCAGATGAGCTTTCATATTTCCCAGTAAAAAGGCCTTGAAGGAATCTCTACTCCTTGGCCTGAGTCATCTCCCTGTTTCTCCTATGGTCACCACCTTATTCCGGTGCCCAGCCAGTACTCACCTCACTTAAGTACTGAAGCACATCCCACAGTGGCAAGTAGAGGGATGGTTTCACAACGGGATACTGAGTCTTGAGAGTAGACTGAGGTAAGGGAGGCAAGGGGGCTGCTGTAATGAGAAGGGCCATAGGTGTGAAATACCTGAAATAATTGCCACCATCTCCACGTCTCCCCCTTCCTCCCAACGAACTCTCTATCCCAGTGTCCACAGGAGAAATGGGTCCTATCCTAGCTTATGGATAGACTTCTCCAAGCAATAAAAAATAGCAGCGACTAAGTTGGAGCCATTTGTAGACACAGGTAGCTGATAGATACAGGCCTGCCAGAGCTGGTATTGATCATAGCTTGGGGGCTCTTAGGGAGCCAAAACTTTACTTTATACCCTATGGCAGCACCGGTGGTTATCCACTTTCTAGGACATAATAGATGGTTAATTAAATTTATTAAATAAATAGGATAACTTTTGCTATTGTATATGAGGATATTATGTCATACGTTATAATATGAGCTTTACAAATAGTAACTTAATCTTCCCAATCATTGTAGGAAACTAATGTCTTTGTCTTCACGTTTCAGTGAAGAAACAAGCTAAGGCTTAATAAAGGACTATAAAACACTCAAAACAACATAGTTTTAAGTAGGAAAGCCGGATTTGCTCTTACTCTTAAGAATTCCATTATGTTTCTGCCCACAGTGAAATCCTTCCCTTTCCTTGTCCTTCCTCTATATAAAATGGTTGCTGAGTACCTAAGCTAGCTCCAAAGAGTTTCCGAAGCTTGAAATACTTTTCAGTATAATCCCCAGCCTCTGTCAGCACAGCATCATAGTCTGCAAGACACCAGGGGGTTGTCACTGTCCACGATTATCCACAACATGTCCTGTTTCAGCTCTTCTGGCGTGAGTTGGGTCAGGCCCCCAGAGGGAGGCAGAAGAAGACACATCTTCCCCAGGCCCAAGAGGGGTCGATCCCAGGCTGGGGTGTCCACTCCTAGGAATAAACCCCACTCCCCTCCTGGGCTGCCATAGCACTGGCCTCACTGGAGGCTTCCCCAGCACTGGGCTTAACCTTCTGTTCACTTACTGGGCTTAACCTTCTGTTCACTTTCTAATGGACCCTGTCTTCCTTCCTCAGTCTGGATTTCCCATCTGTGCCCATCGATGCCCATAGGGCAGTCCCCATTTGCAGCCTCTCTCTCTTAGAAGGTCCAGATCAAACATCTGGTGCACAGGATGAGTGGAGCAGAGCTCTAGGTCACAGGCAGTGCTGTCTACTGCAGCAACAGTCTGCAGGGGGTAGTATGAACCCCCATCACAGAAGAAAGGAAAACAGACAGGAAAAATCTCACAGCTCAGCATAGATTATAGTTCAAGAGTCCAGTGATGCCAGTGGTTCTCTCCAAAGCTCTGGCACCACCTAGAAGGTACTAGAGGTGACTATACCAGTGAGCACTTGCCATAGCTAGTGGTAACACCTTTGTGCATCCCATAATTTGTGGCCCCGTTTATGAAACCGAAGTTGGTTCCACCATGGAACATATACGCATTGAAGGAGATCTCTAAGTTGATAAACTCAGACACAGTGTTTTCAACATCTGTAGAGGAGGGAGATGAGAACATAGAAAAAAGTAAAAATTAAAAGACTCTCTGAAATTTTATCATTTCCATCCCTACTCCCACTTTCAATTAAATTGCTTTTCAATAATTTGTCTTTTAACCTCCACTAAGATTCTAACTAGAAAATGAGTAGAATTAACCAGAACTGCTCTAGGAAACTTTTCCTTAGGAAACGAGTTTAGGAATTTTTGTCAGTATCAAGAACCTTTAAAAATATATATTTTCCCCAGAGTATGAACATAATTTGACTCCAAACTATTCACACATCATAGGGTTGATGAGAGAATGCATTGATGAGAGAAGATATTAAGAAACATGGCCTGGTGCCTGACATACAAGGGATGAGAAAACCTGGTTGTTTATTATCAGCTTGTTTATTAGTAGCTTGTTTATTTATTATCAGCCCAAATCAAACTTTTCTTGGTTACCCAGTAGTTTTCAATGGTTTTCTTTTCATCAGTTACAAGTGAGCTTATTTCTGTAATAGCAAAATATCTTTAGCATCAAAATCCTTTTATTAACAACTGCCAAGCACTGTTCTGAGTGATTTGTATGCATTGCCACATTTAATCTTCACATAACCCTGTGAGGTGAGTTACTATGTAACACTTTTCCATGAAGATATTGAGACTCAGAAGTAGAGGATACTGTCCTGGCTCCTGCATCTAGTGCTGCAGAGCTGGGATTGGAATCATGTCTCCTTGGCTTCAGGACCCACGTTCTCAACCATCATTGTATGCCGTGCCCTGATAATTACTACCACTTATTGGACAGTTGCAGAGAAACGGCTTTGCATTTTCTAGGATGATTAAGATTTCTAGCAAATGCATCGCCTCTTTCATAGATGTTATCTTTTCAGCAACCCTCTCAGTGATGGGCTGCCAGCCTCCATAGATCTGCCCCAGACTTTTTTTTATCACTGCACCTGTCTGTTTGCTTCACAGCAGTTTGTCAGATGTGGAACTACATGCTGAGTGCTTTATTTCTTAACAATCTGGCAATTCCACTACATTACAAGCTCCCTGAGGGTAGGGAAAATTACCTAATTTTTATGCACCAGTATACCCTCTCTGCTAGCCAAGTTTCTATACCTAATAGTGTTGAATGAATAATTGAGGTTGATTGAAATGAGAAATGTGTGAATAACCCATGACTTAGCATCATCTCTACTTGGGGTCAAAGACTACAAAACACTTACCTTTAGCACTTGTACTCATGTGTGCATACCCCCATGTGTCGAACCAGCCAACCCAGTATTCCATAATCAAAATGGGCTTATTTGGCTAGAAACAAACCACATCAAATACTCAGTCCAAAAAAAGAGAAAAGAAAAAATCAGAAGCACTGAATACAACAGGTGAGCATTCAAGGACTCATGCTTTTTGCTTTGCCCAATTTAGCACTTACTCCTCATCCATCCCGCCTACTACTTGTAACCTTGCCATCATATGCAGCATTCATTTCTCCACTCCTAAATACTCATGTCCTCCAGGGCCTCCCTGGAGGCGCAGGTGGTTGAGCTGTGAAGCTATCCGCAGCCTCTGCAGCACGGGTTCTATCCCGGCCGGCCAGCGAGAATCCCACATGGCGTGGCAGACCTCTCCTGTCTCGTCTGCTGCTCCCCTCAGAAGTGTATTTCATCAGTCTGTCTATTCTGTTCCCCACTCTGTCTCTGGTGAATCCTCTCACCCGCCCACACATCTGACCTGTACCCCGGTTCTTGTATAAATAAATAAATCTTAAAAAAAAAAAACTCATGTCCTCCAGACTCCTTACAGATTTATGTTCCTCCCTGCCACCCCTGGATAGCACCTTCAGTAATCCCAGCCTTGTCATATGCGAGGCTGGTGTTGCAAGAGTCTGCTTTGTGTGCACAAGGATCTGATGGCAATTCCTCAAGTAGAAATTAAGGCCAGGAGGTTGCACTGGCACCACTCAAATCCAGGTGTGAGCCAAACTATCTGATACTAGGTTATAGAACTTTGAAATTAGTGAGAAAAGGAAATAAGATTAATAAGTTCTTTAATTAAAAGGTGCAAAGGAAAGAGTGGGACACTGGAGGCAGTAAGCAGCAAGCTCTGATTCACTAGAGGGCCAGCTCTGCAGGGATGGAAGAAGGCCTCTGGCATGAAGGGAATAGCGGTGGGGCTGAGGCTGGGAGTAAAACCTCGAACCCAGCCACACCAGGCAGTGTAGGCCATGCCATGGATGTGGATATTATCCAGGCACAGGAGAAACTCAGGAAAGTGTGTTAAGAAAAGGAAACCTTGGGCCTCCCCTGGTGGTGCAGCGGTTGAGCGCTGGGCTGCGAAGATGCCCGCAGAGGTTTGATCCCCGGCTGCTGGCGAGGGTCCCACATGGTGCGCAGACCTCTCCTGCCATGCCCGCTGCTCCCCTCAGCAGTGTACTTCATCAGTCTGTCTGTTCTGTTCCCCGCTCTGGCTCTGGTGAATTCTCACACCCTCCCGCACTTCTGACTGTACCCGGTGCTTGTATAAATAAATAAATAAATAAATCTTTAAAAAAAAAAAAAAAAAAAAAGGAAAGGAAACCTTAATCATGTTCAGCCTGGAAGAGCTCTCCCAGCTGTTCTGTGGAGAAAGGACACACTCCCTGAAGCAGGGGCACTGATCAGTTCACCTTGGTCACTCTCAATGGGTGACCCAGTGCAAGGAAACCAGGAGCTACTCAATCTGGGTTTGTTAAATGAATTCCTGTCGAGTAGACAGTCATTCAGTCCCATTGTCTGCACAGCCTGGCTAAAATCCTGGTGTGAGTCCTCCCTCAGCTGTGTGTAGCCCAGTTCTGAGCTCTGCCCTCACAGGGACAAGAACATCCTCTCCCTCTGATTTTCCTCCCAAAGACGCCTCGCTCCTCTCTGGTCACCACCATGAGGTGCTGCGCTAACAGGTGAGAGAAGCAGGAGCTGTTCCTCATTTCTTGTGCCCAAAAGTCAGAAACTCCCCAAACCTTGGGACCCAGCTGAAGGCCCAGGGAGGGGCTGCAGGCTTCCTGTCAAGCCTCTGGTCCCCAAGCCTGCCAGGCCAGCTACACAGGCATGGGGGCGGAGGAGGGGGGAGAGATGATGGCAAAAGAGGTGCAAAGACTCTTCAGCTCTAAAATGTTCTTACCTGAAGCTTATGAAGCTGCTTGAACACATTCTTATGTAACGTGTTCATATTGATGGTGGCCAGCACTGCAGAGACAGGGAGACGTGCCCCATGAGGCTCTGTGCCCACGCTGCTAGGAGGGACAGAGGCCCACGCCTGCACACAGAGGGGGGTTTGCCAAGAGGTAAAGACAGCAAGAATCCATGTGCATCCCACTTTGCAATGCACAAAATGCTATTATGTCCATCATCACATCATTGGATACTTGGACAAGATGATGTAGGGACAGTGGAAATTAGACCCTTTTTTGTGCAGAAAAGTGGAACAGATCAACTTATTAGGGCCAAAATTGAATGCCTGTTTCCCAACCCCGGTTCCATGAAAAGGAGGGAAAGATCCACAGAAAGGAGGCAAGAACAGAGGGACATGGAACTTGAGCTGAGGACGACCTGATACATCATTCCATCACATCAGCATCTCAAGATTCTGTTCTGGATTGTTCTGCTACTTTCTTATGTAGAACCCTCTGAATCTCAGACTATTGAAGACCCTGGATAGGGGGTTGGCCTAGGCTGGCTCCCTAATGCTTCACTCCTTGGCTTCTTTGTGTGGTTCTCTATTTGTGTGGGAAGACCCAAATCTTGACTGATTCTTAGCCACACCCTTCTTAGCCACAGAAAAATAAGATGGAAAGCTGTCCTGCAGACAGAGCTCATGACTACTGTGTGAAGACAAGAGGAGCAAGGTAAAGAAACTGAGTTGGGATGTGAGCCTTTCTCTTTGACCTTGAGTCCTCATCTGCAACAATATCAAATTTCTGGGGTTCACTTCAATGTAATGGAAAAGAGAGGTTCAAGACACACATGATTCTTACTGAAATGTGTTCAAGATTTAAACTGGCTACCTGAGAGCCTCCGTTCTCCCTGAAAACAAATTTAAATCAGTACCTCCTTTGATGGAGCCTTTTTGCAATTCTTTTTCATTGTCTGAGGTCAAGAGCATCTCCACAATCCCTCTCTTGAGCATGGCCTATTGAGAAAATTAAACAAAATGAACCCACTTTCCTTCCTCCCATGAGAGGAGGAAATTGTGAAAGAAATACAACTGGGTTGACAGAACAGCACGTGGGCTGGAGAGAGGTTTCAGTTTGGATCCTGCAGGACACTGGGCATCACCATCTGGCTCAGCCTGGTGTTTCTCCCAGAGCTGACCACCAACAGCAGCTGAGTGCAGGCTCCAACACCTCAGGGTCATAGCCATGAGAGAAGCACAAGGCTGAGTTTTGCCTCATGCCCTGGGAAGCACTGTGCAGGGAGAGAAACGCTCTGTGCTTGATGGGAGTGGCTGAGTCTGTGGGTCCTAAGGAATATCAGAGATAAAGTTCACAAAACACAAGGCCCACTTGGCACTGTCAAAGGAAACGAGGATGCCAGTGAAGGCTTTGGAAAGGGCACAGGGAGCAGATGGAGGGCCAGGGTCCTGTGTGTCTTTGTGACCATTGAGTCATTTCTGGGTCTGGGGTGGGGTTGATTTGGCACATTTTAAAAATCAGGAAAACATAATGCCAGCTGAATGAGGCTGATATCTGCCCCCCGAGGAGGGTCAGGAGGAGACAACTCACAGGTCTCGTGCAGCTGCAGGAGCGACAGCCACATGTCAGGAGCTCCAGCCTCTCCCAGCCCATCCTTGAGGACAGAGATAGCATGGGAGCCCTGCCTCCTGCTTGGCCACCTGGAAGGAGGTCCAGGTTTTCCTTTATTAGCTTTGAAAGTCAGGGACACATAGGGGCCCAACCTGCAAAAGGGACGCCAGCAGGACTGCAGGTCCAAAGCCCTAGGCCAGATGGAGGAGCAAGAGCAACAGAAGAAAAGTGTTTAGTTCTACAGGTCAGAAAGCTGCAAGCTGACCGCTGTCATCTCTAAGCTCATGATTTCTTGACTGTGGCTGTGGATTCACCAACCCCCAGGTGGAATGAGAACTGTGGGGCATAGAGATAGCCATGAAAGTGATCCTCTTTTAACGGTCTGTTTTATCTCATCATAAAGTTGTTCAAGTGACATCCTGATTGTATTGACCATATTGTAGATTCACAGAAAAACTGAACTCAGTCTCATAGATTCTCATAACCCACAGGGCCTAACAGAGTTGCCCAGGCAGTGGGAACGCTGGAAAAGAGACAGGTTGAGAAAGGACGCATGTATATGTGGAGACCAAGTGTTTCTCACCTTTTGAAGATAAGGCATGTACTCTTCATCCTTCCCAAAAGAACCGTATTCATTCTCTACCTGCACGGCAATGATGGGGCCGCCCCTGTGGTACTGAGACAAACAGATGAAGATGCGGAGTGAGGAAGCCACCCCAGCAGACAGCCAGGAGTCTCTGGATTTGGCGTGGGACGCTTTGTGATCCAACTTGGCATTTGGGTGATCTGTCGCCTCACAGCTGCTTAGTCACCCCAGGGACTTAGGTTCCCATTAAAATTCCACCTTTCCTAGTCTTTGGAGATAAGTGACCCTTACAGTTTTGCCTCTTTCTCTTATGAATTGGCTACTTAAATGCAACATCTCAAGCCTGCAAACTCTTCCACATCCACCCAACAAGTGGGTGGGGGATGCCACCCCTTCTTCCTTTCTCATGCAAATGCCACCACACACACACACACACACACACACACACACACGCACGCGCGCGCGCGCGCACACACACACACACAGGCAGAGGCCCCTGCCTCGCACCACCCGCCCAGGGCTTTCTACACTGTTCCCTCTCCCTACTGTGCTTTCCACCTTTCCTTCCAAACTGATGGGCTTTGTCATCATGGAAATGCACTAGGCACCCTCAGATCAGAGAGAGGAGGAGGTGGGGAGGAGGTGGAGCGAGAAAGGGAGAGAGGGAGGGTGCTCCAGCATGGACCCCTGCAGCTCCAGTCTCCCGGCTCACTCTCCTTGGGAGCCCTTCCTGAAGGAGTTAGCAGTTGCCCACACTCGTATTCTCTGCTTCTCACTTTTACCCCTCTCTTCAAGCAGTAAAGCTGAAAGATGGAAGCGGTAAAGCTTCCATCCCATTGTGCCACTTAAACCATCAACATTGGTCTAGTTTGCTGAAAGTAGAACATTTTTCAATGTTTAATTTCTCCTTCCATGCTCAGGACGACTTCTTCTTGAGGCCACCCCACACCACTGAGGATGGAGTGAGCCAGGAATGGGTCATTCCACATATTTCCACTGCCCCCAGAGAAAATGCTGATTTTATTTTATTTTTAATAATAAGTTTTATTTTTATATTCCCCATACAATTGCAACCCCCTTATTTTGACCCCAATCCCTCCCCTCCCGCCCTCTACCCCCCATAGAGTGTCTCTGGTTCATAGTTGTTTGTTGATTTTGATTTTCACTTTCTTATAGTTATTCATTTTCCTGGTCCCTTATTTAAGTTTTCTAGATTCCTGCTATGAGTGAGACCATCCGGTATTTTTCTTTTTCTTTCTGGCTTATTTCGCTGAGCATGATCCCTTCCAGCGCCATCCATGTTGCTGCAAATTGCATGTGTTTATCTTTTTTGATTGCTGAGTAATATTCCATGGTGTATATGGACCACATCTTCTTGATCCAGTCATCTATTTTGGGGCATTTGGGCTGTTTCCAAAGCTTAGCTATTGTAAATAGTGCTGCTATAAACATAGGTGCTCTTTGGAATTGATGTTTCTGTGTCCTTTGGGTAAATACCTAGGAGTGGAATTGCTGGGTCATATGGAAGCTCTATGTTTAGTAGGTCCAGAAATCTCCACACAAGAAAATGCTGATTTTAAAGTGAGAGCAGTGTTCCCCAAATTAGTGATTAAATGAATTATGGTAGATCCATATTATGGAATGCTGTTAAGCCATTAAGAAGAAAGCAGTGTGCAACAATATATTTTCAAGTAATCAAAGAGAAATAGCCAATGGGAAGTGTATGTTTTTATGTTAAAAGTGTGTGTGTGTGTTTTCTAAATTCCTAAATAAGGGACCAGGAAAAAGACTAATTTTAATAAAGTAAAAATCAAAATCAACAAGCAACTATAAACCAGAGACACACTACTGGGCGGGGAGTTGGGGGGAGTGGGGAAGTAGGATCAAAACAAGGGGGGCGGGGTAGGAATTGTATGGGGACTATAACCAAGATGAAAATGCATACATTGTACAAAAATGAAAAATGATGTAAAAATATCTAAAATAAAATATATATATTAAAAAACTTTAAAAAATAATTTTAAAAAGTGTATATGTGTGTGTATAGATCTGTATAATCTCTGGAAAAACACACAAAAAAATCTGTAATATTGGTTGCCTCCTGAAAAGACAACTGAATGGTTTGGGACAAGGTGAAGGGGAGCCTTTTTATTTCACCATTAATCCTTTCATTCTCTTTTGAGTTTTCTCACCACATGTTTGTATTAACTGTTTAAAATGACAAAGATAACTCACAAGTAGAAATAAGCCTAATAAGTTGTGACTATCAAGTACATTCAGGTCAACCACCACCCGAAACCTTTGTCATCGTTGTCTTGGACGCTGAGTGTCTTTCTAGAAACCCTGGGGTGGGGACTGTACTCAGATGAGGACCTGGAATTCAAAATTGTAAGAATCTCAGCTTTTGTGCTCATAGAGACCAGGTGTAGCCTATTCTGTGAAGTTGTCAGAGCAAACCACTTTCTGAAAGCAAATGTAAGCAAGACTGAAAAGGTAACTCACCCACCTGGAGAGGGACCACTCTGGGGATCAGGTGATTGAAATACTTATCAACTGCCTCCACAAAGCCCTTTTCAGTTGTTCTCAGTATCACCTTGGGGTCCCGCAGTAACCAGCTGGGGACGCAAGAGGACCAGTGTTTGAGACAGGAAGACAGGAGAAGGGGGAGGCCGGGACCTGAGTGGACAGCCAGCCTCTCTTTGCACCATTTTAGGTCTTTTGAGCTCCATGGTCCAGGAGAATGCAAAGGCCATGAAAATTTACCCAGTGAGCTTTGGGGAACATCCCCACAGACTTTGAGATTTGGAAGGAAAGATACTGTCTCTGACACTTCTCACCCAGGAAGTGCTTTCAGTTCTGTCAAGGAGCCCGTGTCTTAGAGGTGTCTCAGCCTTTCAGGGTACACTGGGTTCCATCCTTCTCTAGATCATTTAAGAATTTTCCTTCAGCTCATAGGCCATGTTTCCTCTAAGACCTAGACGTCAGGGCCTCCCCAGTGGCCCAGCGGGTTGAGTGCCATGCTATGAAGCTGTTCACAACCTCTGCAGTGTGAGTTTGATTTCTGGCCAGCCAGGGAGATACCCACATGGCACAGCAGACCTCTCTTGTCTCACTGGATGCTCCCCTCAGCAGTGTTTTTGGTCCTTCTACCTGTTCTGCTCCCTGCTCTGTCTCTGGTAAATTTTCTCAACCTCCTGCACCTCTGTCCTGTACCCCCATTCTTGTGTAAATAAGTGATTCTTAAAAAAAAAAAAATTGCTTAGACTTCAACACAGAGTAGGAGCTGACCAGCCAGTGAGCCTGAACCTGCCCCACTCCCCTGATCACTTGTAATGTTCAGGTCAGGGATTGGGAGCAGGTAGTACAGTGATTCACTACCTCTCTAAAACAGCCACTCCCCACAAGGGGAGACCAGGATCATCATGGAGAACAGCAAAGCCTTTCCCCATTGCAGGGCATAAAAGTGCTCACCAGAGGGACAGCCTGGGACCAGCAGAGACCCCATCAGCTTGCAGAGAGAACAAAAGAGTTGCAGGGATGCTCGCCCTGATCCTTAGCTGCCTGAACTGAGGGCCAGCATCACAGATGAGAGAAAAAGGCAAAGAGAAATAAGAAGGAAGGGGCAGCTGGAGCACTTAGTGCAGCAGGGAAGCCACCTCCTGGGATAGAATAGGATAAGATAAAGCAAATCCCAAGTCAGCAGAACAAGCCCAGATCTCTCCCTTCTAGCCTGGAAGCTTCTCTTCCAAAGAGAAGAGAACAGAGGTGGGAGGCATCCCCTCCTGTGTGAAGAGGGAAGAGTGTGGTCAGTCTCAAACTTCCTCCCCTGCCTCTCCCTGCTTTGGCCTGGTGCCCCATGCTCCAAGACCAACATCTCAGGTCCCTGGTCTGTGACACAGGGATCCCAATCGACCCGTGCCTCTCCACAGTGTCACAGCAGCAGCTGGTGATGTGTGCTAATTCTGCAGGCGTGGCTTCCTTGCAGAACTGAAATAACCTCCTAAGTGTTCAGATGATGCATAAAGCGTGTAACACGCTGCAAGACACAGAGCCCGTGCTCGCTGTTATTAGATAGTGTTCTACCTTTAAATCAGCAAAATACGTATTGCTGCCAGAACCCTGGACCTGGCTCCACTCACCTGGGCAGGCCCCCGAGGTCGATCTCACTGCAGATGTAGGGGCCCGGACGCAGAATCACCCACAATCCAATCTCTGCAGCCATCAGGATAAAGGCCCTAGGAAGGTCAGTGTCAGCAGCCCTCGGGACTCCAGAGCAGAGGGTGGGGACCAACTCAGCACACGGCAGGGTGGGAGCTCCACCAGCGAGGGGGAGGTCACCACCTTCTCCCATAGAGCAGGGTCTCCCACCTCCCATTACAGGCCCAGTGGGGCTGAGTTCTCACCAGCTTCCAGGCCAGGACCAACAATGCAGCCCCCCTGGGGGTGTGAGAGGAACCTGGACCCCAACAATCTGCTTGCTACCCAAGAGGGACCAGCCCTGTTCCAGCCCAGGTGGTTGGAACCCCTTGGTCAGCAGTGCCCACACTGGGGACTGGGCACCCCTCGGCTGCATTGAAGAGGTCCCGGCTCAGAGGCAGCAGACCCCGAGTCCTGGGAGCAGCAGGGCTACAGCTGCCGAGCATCTGGGTCCTGGGTACAGACCTTTCACTGAGTCCTGAGGACACACTCCACAGCCCAGGCTCTAGCTAGTCCAGGCCCAGAGCCCAGATGCGTCTGTGATTCCTGATCCACCCCAAGGAGCCCGCCACCCCTCTTCCAGCCCCGGGTGGGTGGCGGAAGCAGCAACAGCACGTACTCCAGGTCCAGGTTCCCAGAGAAGTCAAATTTTCCTCTTTCTGGCTCATGGAGGTTCCACGGGACATAGCTGGGATGGAAAAGAAAGAGGGACAATAAACATCATTGTCTTTCTCCAGTTGCTAGGTCAGCCCCAAGCCCATGCCCAAACCTGGGATAACTCTATTTTGGAATAAATTGAAGTTTCCAATGGCAATTAAACCTGCATTACATGAACAGTGATCATTTTCAATAGTCCCCTCTTCAATTACCCACTGTGGACCAAGCCACCAGATGATCTTACAACCCTAGATCCTTGGATTAATACATAAATTACCCCACTCACTGCTCAGTCTCTGTATTATCCATGAACAATAGAAAGAAAAGGACTACAACACAAGCATCTGTACATACTCAACCAATTATTGCTAAGAATTAAGGAAAATAAGTTTATGGAAAGAGCTTCAGTGAGGGTAGTGGAGGCAGAATAAAGAAAGATACCACCTGTAGACCTTAGCAAAAAGGATCCCTGTTAGGGGTCTCCCCCATAAGGCTAGCCCTACAGGACCAAATAGTCATGTGTAAAATTTTATTAGGTGATGTTTTTAATTAGGCGACTCTCTTTTCAGTGTGTCACCAACAAAGTTTCTGAGTTTTGCGCCCCAATCTCATTCTTCTCATAAACCCTATGACACAATCTTGCACAGTAAAGGAATTTTTAAAAACGCAAATGTTGCATTATGACAGAACTGATGCTATTTTAACTTCTTTTGTTATGAGGAAGTATTAAAAGTGGTTTGCTAAACACTTTAAATATGCATAATAAAGTTTATAGCTATACACTGAGAAAATGGAATAAAGATTTTACTAGATGACGCTTGTGACTTACTGTAAAGAAAATTACTGGAAGAAGTTGAAGAGAAAAAGATGAAAAATATATAAATGAGACAAAATTATTCTAATACTCTTTAATTAGCAGGCAAAATGAATTTGAAGACAAAAAAACTCACAGGTTCATGTGGAAAGGCACCAAATAATAATAAAATGAATGACCCATCAATAAGATATAATAATCATGGCCTTCTGTGTACTCTTTGAAACATGGCTTCAAGGAGAAGCATACTGAGCCAGAGAGGAAATGGGCAATCCACAGTCATAGTAAAAAGATAATGGCAAAATAAACGTAAGGATATAGAATTTGAACAAGATAATTAAAAGTCTGGATCTAATAAATGCATAGAGAACCCAATAGCCAACAAATAGAGCATACACATTCTTTTTTTTTTAATATTAAATTTTATTTTTATATTCCCCCATACAATTGCAAACGCCCCATTCTGACCCCAATCCTTCCCCTCCCGCCCCCCACCCCCCAAAAAGTGTCTCTGGTTCATAGTTTTTTGTTGATTTTGATTTTCACTTTCTTATATTCATTTTCCTGGTCCCTTATTTAAGTTTTCTAGATTCCTGCTATGAGTGAGACCATCCGCACATTCTTTAAAATCACTGAAATGGTTGTAAAATGGTTGTAAAATACAAAATAAATAGCATTAAATTAAAAAAATCTACAACACTTAGGCCATGATCCAAAGACAGATGCAATTAATTTAGAAAAGTATACTTTACTAAAAACAGCAGAAAGAAAAATAAAACAGAAAGCATGTCCCCAAATAGTTGATGTGATCAAAGAAGAAACAATGAAATTTATGAGATGTTTGAAACCAAATGACTTTCAAAGCACTATGTATTAAAATGTGTGGGATATATAGCCAAAGTAGTACTTAGAGGTACATTCACATCTTTGAATGATTTAGAAAACAGAAGCCTGCAACGAAAATGAGCTAAATATCCAATTTTAGCAGACAAGGAGGAGAAGGAGAGCCAAATAAAATAGAAGGGGATTATTCATAACTCAGAAATTGTGAAATAGAAAACAAAATTATATAAAGAGGTTTAATAGAGTGATAAACTAATTCTTTGCATTCAAAGACTCAAATTTCAAAGACAAGAAATCTTTGAAAAGACAATCTTTGCAAAGACAATATTGAGTGAGAAAAAAAGAAGGAAAAAACCCAAAACACAATGTGATGTGTGGCTTCTGAGAAAGAGAGGATAATTTTTTAAGTCCCAGTTAATCCAAAAGAAGGAAAGAAAGTAAAAGAAGATCTATAGAATAAAGATCAGATATACTCAAAAGGAAATAAAAAAACATGGCTTAAACAATAATCATTCAAGAAAGTTATATTGTCCCAAAATTCACCTGACCATCACAAAAGATAGGGTTTTACAGGTATTAAGAAACATTCAGGGGCCTCCCCTGGTGGTGCAGCGGATGAGCGCTGGGCTGCGAAGCTGCCCGCAGCCTCTGCAGTGCTGGTTCAATCCCCGGCCGCCGCACCAGCTGCTCCCCTCAGCAGTGTATTTCGTCAGTCTGCCTGTTCTGTTCCCCGCTCTGGCTCTGGTGAATTCTCTCACCCTCCCACGCTTCTGACTGTACCCAGTGCTTGAATAAATAAATAAATAAATAAATAAATAAATAAATAAATCTTTAAAAAAAAGAAACATTCAGATAAAGATAATTCTTTTGTAAAATATTTTCAGTGACTAGAACGAGAAGATACAGTCACTTTGTGAGTTTAAGACTGATGTCAAACTGAACAAGACACTAAAGGAAATAAAACTAAATCAATCAGTTGTACTCATAAAAACACATATCTGAAATAAAACACTAGCACACCAAGTCTAGCAATCTGTGTGTGTGACACAAAAGTTCATGTCTCATAACCAAATAGAATTTATCCCAGAGCTGTGAGACCAATTTAACATCCAAAAAATCATCAGTGTAATTTACTGCTTTAAAGCAAGACTGGGGAAAAAATATAGTCCCTTCAATAATGCAGAAAACTTTCTCAATAAAACTCGACAATTATTTATGATTAAATTACTTGCATAGTAGATGCATACATTATCAGTTTACTGGCTCTCAGCTTCAAATTCTTCCTTTAGCATCAAACTCTGCATTTTCTCCTTTACAGTGAATACAATGCTTAGCTTTGCCACAAGAAGGGGGTAGAAGGACATTCAAGAGGAAAGGTTTCCGAATCCTGGTGCCCTTTTGCAGTTGTGTTCTTGCTGCCTGACTAATGAGTGCCATAAGAGGGTGAGGACATCATTGACTCTTTATTAAAAATTCAATATAAGTATAGTCATAACAACCAATGTAGAATTAACCCAGAAAGGCAAGAGGACTCAAATGTTTGGGAATTATCCAACTCAATTATACTTACAGATATAGACATTACCTTACATGCCCTGTAGTATTTTGCTAATATTTTCTGCTCTTTCCCTTTTTAGATTGTATGTTTGAGCTTCTCAGAACTGCCTTTAATTTTCCCAAAACCTGACCATAAAAATGACAGTGCTCTTTACTTAACAGTGACAAGCATCTCATCAAGAAGCAGAAAGATATATTCCACATCATAGAATGATAAAACAGGCCTTTGACATTGCAAGTCTGTACAAAGGGTTGTGGTGTTGTGAATGCAATAATCAGTCCCTAAGCAGAGTCCACAGTGATGAACAGTGACTGACTTGTTCTGCAGCCTCAAACTGTTGGCCTGACAGCTTCAGAGCATATTTCTGTTCTATGTGACACTGGGACAGAGTTTTTTAACCTTGCTTGGCCTGAGCTTTCTCCTCAACAGACCAAAGTGATGGCACCACCCACCAGGTAGTATTGCTCTTAGAGATGAGGTGAATTCATGCTTCTAGGATTTAGAACATGCCTGGCAGTGTGTAAATATGATGCACATTTTCACTGCAGAACTAAAATTGCCAATCTTACTTTATAGTGATAGATGTTTTGAGATTGGCATCTCTGTGCCCGGGTGATCATTCTACTCAGGGTAAACTTTCTGAGCTTTCCTCTGGCCTTCAAAAGCCCCATGCTCCCAGTGGTAACCACATACCCTTCTACCTGCAGCTTTACCAGTGCAACCTTGCACATCACCTTCTCTTGGCTCACTTCACCCAACTTTAACTGATCCCCAATTTTTTGCATTTTAGCGTGTTTCCAGAAATGGGTCTGTTACAAAGGAGATGCCACTATTCCTAATTCAAATATGATTTTCGCTCTGGCCTGGTCTTTACTTGGCCATCTGTGACCATTGCTCTGTGTGTGGGAGGCTTCAGTGGCACCCTCACAGCAATGGTACTTCTGCCTTGAGGAGACACCCACCCCGAGCACACAAGTTAACCTTTGTGTTCCCACACAATGGGAATTATACTATACATTGCACAGGAGGTTGGGAAGATTAAGTAATTTCATGAAAATCCTTAGCTGTCAGCACATTCTAAATACACACTGCCTTTGTCACTATGCACCCAGTCCTACTGCATAGCGTGTACCTTCATATTTAAAGTCTTCTGATTGGCTAAACTGGGTTTGTACTGTTTTTACCACCATCGTTGAATACATAAGCATGCCAGATGTCCTATTAGACACTTTTCACATAGATAAGGGTTTATCTCATGTAACCTTCAACATGAACTTATGAGGTGATTATATCTGTGCTCCTTTGCAGACAAGGACGCCAGGGCTGGGACTGAGGACCAGGTCAACTGACAGTAGATCCCTGGCTCTGCATGCTGAGCTGCAAGTGTTCGTTCTCTTTATGCCATTAAACTTCACAACATGATACTGGCATTTCCTTCAATGTTCTTTTTTCATACTATTCTTCTTCTACCTGCTCATCTCCATATACATAATTTAAATTGTTTTAAAAACACCATCTATTTGTCTGTGCATATACTTGGAGCACATCATTAAACAAAGTGCCCCCAAGGAACCCAGAAATGCCCCCTTTGAAGATTCCTGAGAAAATCACTTACTCATTAACTCCTGCCCAATGTTTTGATTTCAGCAAACTAAGTAGGAGAGGTAAGTGACAGCTTGATGGTGAAACCTCCAAGTCACATGCTGGAAATAATTCAGCTCCCCTGAGCTCCCCAACCATAGCCTGTGAGCTCAGATTCAAATGCTGGAGCTCCTGTAGGTTAGCAAGCTCACAAAGGGCTTGGTCCAGCACTCACGTGGTGACAGTATTGAAGCCACAGGCTTGCAACTTCAGCAGGCGGTCCCGCCAGTACTCCCTGGGCACCCGGAAATAGTGGATGGAGCCCCCGAAGATCAGGAACTTTTGACCCTCCAGGGTGAAGTGTGGCTTACTCCCATCTCTGCTTTCAGTCTGGAGTCCCAGATATCGGTCCTTCAGCTCCAGAGGGGTCAGTTGACAGTAATTAAACCTGGGAATAGGAGGGGGACTGTGACAGAGTGGGGGGAGAAGAAGATGGAGGAAGAGGAGAAAGATACTGAGAGCGAGACTGGAGACTGCTGAAGTTCTCAGAACAAAGTTGTTCTTGTTGACAGGATGTGTTCTGTCCATGCCTCTGCATCCGATACTATTTTCTCTAAGGAAGGAGGCTCCCCCTTCAAGCAAACCTGATCTGGGATGGCTTCACTCCTTTATGTATACGATTCCCTTTATATTTTGCCCGGGGACCAAAACTGGATAAGATAAATGGCAGGAAAAACATGCACATGATTCTTTTCCAGGAGAGACTTGGGCTGAAAGGAGAAAAAAATGACAGTTGGCTGTGTTGAGCTGTAAGGAAAAGAAATTTTCTGGGTGGCAGGTTAGAGGCAAGAGATGTGGGAGAGGGCATGGTGGGCAGGTTCTGGGGCTGACCTCACACACAGGAAAGCTGGCCTTTACCCGGGTCCATTGAGGTTGCAGCACTACCAGTCCACTTGGGTCAGGACAGAATATTGGGGATGGACTTTAATTCCTAGGTGCTTACAGCCAGGCCCAGGAGAGGGTTGAGCCTTGGGGAAGTGGTCCTGGGAACAGATGTCAGAGAGGTAAGGGGCCTAATGATAGGGCTAAATACCCAATCCACTGGGTTTAGGAAGGACCCCACTACCAGGCAGCCAGAACACCTTGTTGGCAAGCACATCCTTTTTCCTTCCAAGTCTGGAATGCAGGCCCCTCAGCAGAGCTGTGACTAAGAGCCAGCAGCAGAGCTGGAGGAGAGACTTGAAAGGGGAGTTGGTGAGGGGAGACTGCAGATGTGGAGGGAGGGGAGTGTTCCAGTCCAAAGGTCCCTTGTCTCAGTTGTCCCAGGGCCCAGCCAAATAAATGCCGTGGGTGCTTGACTAACCCACAGAACACAGAGGGAAGTCTCAGGGCTCCTATGAAGGGCCCTTGTAGGGAGTGGGGCACAGGGAGGGATCAGGAAAAGGGATGGGGTTCAGGGAAGCCCATTCCTGGAAGGGCAGGATGGGCTGCGGACAGGGGACAGCTTGATGGTCACCTGAAGGGCAGCGACAAGGCCATCGCCGCAAGGCAGAGACGCAGATCCCGTGCCACTCTGGCCGCTTCTCCACAGCCCTGGATTTGCCCCAGCAGGACGTGGGGGCAGGGGCCACCTGTGAGCCACCAACACAACCGGGTGACCGTGTTGGGAGGCAGGGGACAGAGCCACTCACACACTGGGGTGTCCCAGCTGCCTGTGTGCGCATGGAAGTCTTTCAGTGGATGCAAGCAAGGTGGGAGGGTCTTGGGTTATCACCCTGACCTTGAGCCTCCTAAACTGCAAGCCACAGCCAGCTGAGAGAGAAAGGCAGTGGTGAGTGGGAGGAAAAGAGAACAACTAGCCTAGGTCATGTAATCAGAACAGGAACGTCTCATTCCACAAATTGAGCAACATTTCTTAGTAAGTGGACCTTGGGTTCCAGACAGCACCCTCAGACTAATGAAAGGGTGGAGCCTCAGTGACTGCCAGGCCCTGGAGTGGGTTGGGCATAGGGGGAAGCGTCCTGGGAACTGGTGTCAGAAAGGTAAGGGGCGTAGTGATATGCACGAACACCCAAACCGCTAGGTTATGGAAGGACCCTGCTACCTGGCAGCTGGAGCACTTTGTGGGCACCCACACCCTATTTCCTCCCAAGTCTGGAATTCAGGACCCATAGCAGAGCTGTGACTAAGAACCAGCAGCAGAGTTAGAATAAAGATTCCAGAGGGTGCAATGGATGCCCAGGCCAGGGACACAGGAGGCTGCCCTGGAGGTATGCTATCCCCAAACTGAATGTTAGTAAATGGCTGAGAATTGTCAAACAATGCAAAGTGAGAAGTGCCCTATTGCTGTCCGTGGAAATAGCTTGAAAAGTATCTCCATGGTATGTGTGAGAAATAGTTTGGAATTCTTTGGTTATAAAGTAGCAGGAAATAGGATTGGGCTGTGGATGCCATGCTAAGCATCTTGGGTCTGTTCCAGAGATTTCAAGCAGAAACCAAGTCAGATTTTAATTTTATAGTGATTACTTGACTACAAGAGTCAAGGGAGTCAGTGGGAAACAGTACACCATCCCAGTAGACCTGGTGGTGCTGTGAGGACAAGGGCCAGAGTTGTTCTTATGGTGGTGATACTCAGCAAGAGGAGGGATTAGATTCCAGAAAATGTGAGGTATAATTGATATCTCTTGGCTATTGACTGGATGATGTAGTACAGACAGGAGTCTGGGATGACCACCATGCTCCAGGCTTCTGTGAAGTGGGCAGATGGGCGTGACATTTATTGAGATGAGAAACACAGAATGATTGGCTTCGACCAGCAGGAGAAACGCAATGAACCCACTCTGGTTACATGCTAGATTTGAATTCCTGATGAAGAAGGGAAATCTGATCTTTTCTCTTTGAAGTCTTTGTTTTTCCTCTTCCATTTGAAAGAACAAATGTACATTATCTTAGTCATAAATATACTGTCTCACAACAAATTGGGACAATTCATCACATGATAGATAACTAATACAGAGCTTACAGCCAGTTGTGTCCCTTCTACCTGGGCACTCACTGCCGCAGCCCCACAGCCCCACAGCCTTTGTTCACTTCCTCAAGCTCCCAAGTTCTCTCTTATCCTAGACCTTTGAACATGCTGTTACTAGTGTTGGGATGGCTCCCCCTCACCTCCTCCTTCATGACGGACTTCTCTTCATCCTTAACCATTCAATGTCACCTCCTCAAGGTGACTTCTCTGACCATCCTAAATCTAAATAGGTACCTGGCCCTTTCAATTATATTACCGATGGCCCATCTTTTATTTTCTTAATAGCACCATTAGAATGTTTAATTATTGTATTTATTTCCTTGTCTGCTCACTTCTTTTGTTGTTTATCTCTTTCCCACTATGATGGGGATGTAGATAAGCAAGCTCCTCTCTGCATTCAAAAATTAATTTGCTAAAATCAGGCAGTGGATCCCATGGGGAGAACATCCAAACAAAGGGGCTTTCTGTCTTATGGCAAGTGAAGTGTTCACTTACAGAATGGTGGAGTGGCAGGGCATAATTAACAGCCTCATTATGACACTATCGTTCTAGAGTGGAAGGGCAGTAAATGCTCAGACAAGACAAATCAGTCTCTTCTAATAAACATACTCAATACAATCTTGGGTAACAAATGTCGCCCCCTAAGAGTGTGTACACTTTCCCACAATTACCAGGTTTAACCAAATTTCAAGTTCAGAAATTTAAAGATGACACCTCAGAGAAGAAAAAATATCAGTCTTCAAAATTAAATGCAATCAACACAGGAGAGCTTCTTGCCCTTCTTGGTAAATAAATAAGCTGGAAAATCCATTTTATAGCCACAGATACAGAAAATATCCATAATTAATGTAGGCAGTACGCAAAAGGAGCTAATGCCCTTTGTTCTCTCTGCCTTAATGAGAACTGACACATTCCCAGACCCTTCTCTTTTATTTTTGTAACAAGGGAAACACCAATGCAGTGCTTTGTGTTTTCAAGGGCACTTGCTTAGTTCAACAACCATCCTTTTCTCTCATATTCTATTGTGAATTGTAGGCTTGATTTCAACTTATAATATTCAACCCCCAACACAACCACCTGAATGTTATGCCTTGATGCCCCTCCAGTGCCCTTCAGCACAGCTGGGACCGGGCTCTGGGAGGGGACCCCAGCAAGCAGGAGACCAGAGTTGAGACTGCTAAGAGTATGAGAGGGGTGGATGTCTGTCACCCAGAGTGACTGCAGAGAAATGAGCCACAACCTGCAAGATTGCATTGTCACCCTAGGTGGGCTCAGTGATCCCATGTCTTTCAGACACCCAACAAGATAAAAAGGACAGGTCTGGAGCTCTAACTTCATGACACTTGTGGCCAACACACTCCTGGTGGCTGGGGTAGATCATGTTGTCACCATGGACCTGCGTACCCTCAGATACTGGGGTCCTTTGCCACCCCTGTAGCCATGCTGTAAGCAGAGCCTGGGTGCTGAGGTGGATTTGTGAGAATGTGATGATGTGAAGCAACTGCACGTAGTTTTTTCTCATATAGAAGAGCCCAAAGGTCCACCTGAATGGCAGACGAATCACGTGGGATTTTTGTTGATCCATAGGGAGGATGAAGGTGAAAGGTAGACTGATGGTGGGCAATGGGAGGGACTGCGTGACCATCCATGGAGCCCACGTGGTGGACACACCGGACACCATTCACCACTCTCTTGGGGAGCTTTGTACCCAACTGATCTTCTCTGGGCCTTCAACTTGGAAGCAGACAAAAGGAAGACTGCTCCATTTGGGTTACTGACATCTTGATGATTTCTACAGAGGTGAGTGGAAGACAAAGAGTGATTCCTTGTCATCCCTGTTTAGCAGCTATAAATCCAAGTTGTGACGTATCCAGCAAGCCTATTTTGGTATCCGACTTGTGTTCATTTGTCTGACTCTTTTGCTTTAGGACTAAGCAATCAGACTAATTTATCTAGGATGATAAATGACAAAAGCATCAAATCTCTACAAGGAGAAACAATGATCATTGATTTTCCATTTGAGGAGCAGGAGAGTAGTAGATAATTTATCTATAAGGAAAAGTTCTTAAATAAGAAATGTTATTACCATACCGACTTGTTCTAATAGGTGACTTTTTCCTTTGCTCCCCCAGCATTGAGACCTTCACTTTCAAGTCATAATTCCATTGTAGAAGTTCATATTCTGAATATTTTGGAGCTACCAGAGGAGACTAGTGGATAAAACCTTCGGTGTAGATATATGAAGATAACTCCTGTGAACACTTGGGATAAACCCTGCATAGAATTAGCCCTTTATTTCTGTATGAACCTTGTAATATGTTTAATACAGTGAATTTTTGAATTTTTTCTTTGGTGACTGGGCATCAAATAAGCCATTTGGCTATCGTACTTAATTTGAACAAGGTTTACTTTTTTAAGATTTATTTTATTTATTTATGCATACAAGAGCTGGGGTGCAGGCCAGAGGCACAGGGATGGGAGTGAGAGGATTCACCAGAGATGGAGTAGGGAGCAGAACAGGAGGAGTGACTGAAATACACTGCTGAGGGAAGCAGAGGGTGACACAAGAGAGGTCTGCTGCGCCATGTGGGTTAGCTCCCTGGCCAGGGTCAAACTCGTGATGAAGATACCTTCATGGTACTGAGACTTAACCCTTTTTGCCATCAGGGAAGCCCAGAACTAGATTTATTTAATGTAAGTCAGCCATGGCACACTTATTAGGGGGAGAATACGAGACTTATCAGGACAACATAATTAAACATTATTTTCTTATTACCATTTCTAAAAAAAAAACATGCTGTAACTATCACTGACTTGAACCACCATGTTCTAGAATTCTTAAATTATGTTAAACAAAAAATCTGATTTACAAATTGTTTAAAGATACTGTCTCCAAGATCACTGTCACACCGATGTGTTCCTCTCTCATAACCAGAAGGCCAATACTTTGAGATGCAACTATGTCCTATCATCTTGTTGTTTTACTTCACATTTTGAGCTATGATTTTACTTTGCATTTTTCCAATAATTTCATATTATGGATTTCCATTAAAATAAAAACTCCCTGAAGTCTCCTCATATGTACTAGTCTGGCCATTTTTTTGTTTTTGACATGAATAGAAAGGTGAATTTTTATGAGCGAGCAAATGCATATTTAAACATTTTTTTCATTAGTTTTGATTAAATGTTCTTTTGCCTTTTATAATGAGAAGTAACAATTCTCAAGGCAACTGATTGCTTTATCTAAAGTTGTTACATTAAAAATGTGGGTAGGAGAGGCCTATCAAAAAAGCACAACTAAATAAACATTAATTGGTCCATTAGGATAATGTTTTTAAAGTGGTCTTAAAGTGATTATGGAGGACAAATTCACTGCAGATTGCATTATTCACAAGACGACATCACACACTTTACAATTCCCTTCTCAGAGGGGCTTCGCTAACCATGGAGAAGTCAGGTGCTGATGCTGAAGTTCATTACGAGCACATTGGCAGACCACCTAGTGAATTCGTTAGCCCCCCAGAAGGAGGGTTTCCCTACACAGTCAAAGTCCAGGAATAATAAAGCGCAATCTCTCCCTTCTGCCGAGTCTTAAAACTTATAGGGATAAATTCTCTCGTCTAAATTCTATGGGTGGAAGCTCTATGTTTAGTAGGTCCAGAAATCTCCACACAGCTCTCCATAG